AATGGACCCAAGAGGAAATATTGCGTACCTGAAATAAATGGTGTTTTGCCAGAGACGCATGTACTGTTAGGAGAACAAAGTGATGTGAGCAGAGTGACGGAGCCGAATGGCCTTCACATCGAAGTGATGGAACTGTGAGGCGTTTGCTTTTCCCTGGGTCGGAACTGCGCGACGCTTCGCTTGCACGCTATTCATGTTTCCTTGTGATGGGGCCACCCATCATTTCGCATGACACTTCGCCTGCACAAAACCCATGTTTTCCTATGACGTGGTTGCACAACGTTTCGTTTGCTTGCATGACACGTCATTCCCTCATCAAAATAAAAAGACACGTAGAGGTACCTTTTCTTCATTTTTCCCCTAAGTTTTTACCTCAGGTAAAAAAGGCCCAATTTTTTTTCTTTTTGCCCCCATTTTCACCACCATGCACTAACTGCACGTGCATGCCTCTGCTCGTGTGTATGCCCCAATGGGGCATCACTTGAACTTGTGTCTTAGAGTTACGTGCATGCACACCGCGGATGCACTGATTGTGCATGCATGCATCCTGAGTGCTGCTTGAGCTCTTGTGCCTACATGCCCCTGCCGGGGTACAATTTGCAAACCCATATGTTGCTCACTCTTTCTTTTGTTCTTTACAGTGAAAATACTTGATGTAAACTAGTTGCCCAGTGCAGGGGAGCTAGGGACCAATTCTTACACATGTGCCTCCTTTGTAAGTGGAACTACTCTCGGTGTTCTCGAGCCTACTCGTGAGCTGGAGTGGCCTTTGAGCATCACCTATGTAGGAGAGGATGCTCATCTTTGCAGATATGAGGATGTCGATGGTGAGCCTCTTGTTCAAGGGGATGGTGTCCCCCTTTACCATGCCCTCCATAGGAATTTTGATTCCAGCGAGAATTTGCCTACACTGGGGAAGAGGATGCCAGAAAAGACGGACCTTCACTGGGCCCCTGGTGCTCTTTGTTTTGAGGGAGAACACCAATAAATGCCAGGGTACAGCACTTGGACATTTGATGTCCTCAATTCACATGTTAACACTCTAAGAGAATGCGAACTAGCCATGGTGTGCCAGTGCTCGGCTGACTATTATGACCGGCGCTCTAACACTATTAAATCTTTGTTGGAGACATGTTGTCATAAGACCAACAACTGCCATTTTGATAGGGGTGAGGCATGGATCACCCTCCTTGATCTGTATTTTGTCGGGGGCTTACCCATACTTGGGGAAATGTATGCAGAGTTCGTGAGCCCTCCTCTTCTGATCTTCGTGAGTTGTTTGAGATTTACCAACTTTTACATTCGGAGACCAAACTTAAGTCCGACAGAGTACATTTTAAGGCATGGAGGAATTATTTGTTTGGTGACTGCCAAGACGGTGAGGATGCTAGTTCGAGTGCCCTGTGGACGGATGAGGCACGGAGGGTGGAGGCAATCAAGGTCTCAAAGAGACCAGTTACTCCTCCTAAAAGATGGGAGAAGGACATTGTGTACCTGGTCACCTACTTGGTCCTTTTCTTGTGAAAATTTACCCTACCAGGGCCAAGGAGTTATATTATCCGGCCGGGCTGTTTTTATGCAGCATGCAAGATGGCTTGTGGCCGTGAGTGTGCCCTGGCTCAACCAGTCTTACGTAGCATTTACCATGGGCAGGGGGGCATTGCCCATGGTGGGGTCATTGCCCATGGTAGGGGCCATTCAAAAGAAAATAAGAGCGAGGTCTTGGCTGGTGAGGGCTTTCCTAGGCATTTTACAGCAAGCTTCCTAGTCCACTACGTCTTTGGGTGGCTTTCAGCATATTTTCCTAAGAGGGAGACGACTCGTGGGACGTATGAGATTAATGGAAGTATCGCAGGACACACTTGTTCCCACTTGCTAAGAATCACAGGGTTGAAGGCCATCTTCAGAGGGCCAGAAGAAGTGCGTAAGCTTCTGGCCTAAATTTCCTTTTTTTCCAGTGGTAGCCCTTTACCTATGGGCGGTCCTACTGATCATGTCTTTATAGACAGCTTTGGCGTGATTTTTGATGAAAAGCTTACAAACACAAAGGCGGCCATGTATCTCCTGAGCATGAGAGGCACTATGTTGTGCTACTGACTCAACTTGTGCCAAATTAATTTTAAAAAAGTTATCATGAATGTAGAATTCAGTTTAAATTGATTTAAAAATCATGATTTTAATCTTTTAATTTGAGAAATATTTTTTTCTTACTTCATAGCATTTCATAATTCTCAAATTTAAGGATCTATTATCCGATGGATATTTTAAATAAAAGAATTGAAATTTTAGGTTTTTTAAAAATTATACATAGGATTTTTAGTTGGGGAAAGGTTTATGTACTTCCCCTACAGCATAGAAGATATATGCTTCCCCTACCATCCAGCCATCCAATTTTGATCAAGAGAGTCATTCACCGTTTGATCTTAGATCTGACACCTTAAAGTATTTTATTTTTAATTTTTTTATACATATTGTAAGAGTATGAAATTTGGTATATGCCATCTTCTCATTAGGGCGCACCTATAAAAAATATTAAACATAATTTTTCGATAAAATATAATGATCAAAATAACCCTTGAATCTTTCAAGTGTATTTTGGTCATTTTATTTATTGGAATATTTTTTTTATATTTTTTTCTAATGCGAGTTTAACATAGGATTGGAAGTACAAAATTTGGTGTAAAATAGTTTGTAAAAAAAATATTTTAAAAAAAATAGTATGGAGACGTGACATTGTGATTGGGGCAGTCTTAGCCCTCCATTCAGACTGGACGGTTGGATAAGGGGAACTATATAAGTTTTATGTTGTAGAAAAAGCATAGAAAGCTTGCCTTTTTAGTTGAAGGATCATGTACCTGAGGAAATACACAACTTGTTGATATTTTGTAATGATATTATAATTACTTAAATACTATATGAGCTTGTAAAGTCTTATACATCTATATTGTAAAATTAGGTGAATATATATACCTATTTATTTGATCACCAAAGTGCTAAGTAAATAAAAGAAAATATATGATATTTTATAAACTTTTTATAAAAAATAATTTTATTAATGAATAAAAACTATTTAAATATAAGTTTTTTAATTAATTATGACATGAAATTTAATTTATATTTATAGATTTACATTTATTTATTAATTAAATTTGAAATCATTTTTAGAAGAAATTTATAGTTTTTTTTTTTTCAAAAGTATAATTTACTTAATATAAATTGTAATTTATTATAAAACCCATATTTATTTTAGAGAAGTTCTCTTAAGAAAGTGATAAGCATGTAAAATATTTTTTACAAAATGATAAAGACTTCGTGTATTTTCAATTAAAAAGAAAGTAACCAACTATGGCCAGACACCCCATTTCATCATATTGTACAATTATACATTTATATTGACTTTATTTATTAATTAATATTTTAAATTTTGATCTTCCAAAATTACTCATAAAGTGAAATTATTTTATATTTTAAATATTCATATTTTAACTTATAATATGGGAGTAGTAATATGCAAATTAAATTACTTACAACATATTTGCTTTATATAAAAATGAATTTTATTTTAGAGAAGTTTCATTTAAGAAATTATAAATAGGTAAAAAACTTTGTTTCAAAGAATTAAATAATATTTTATTATTTTTTCCTTCAAATAATGAGAATTAAGAAATTTTACCTTATGTATATAATTGTAACTTTTTAAATAAGGACATTGATTTCATGCAACGATTGTATCATAATATAATGCAACCACATTAAAAAAACCATATTACTATTTTCATTCTAAAGAACAATTAAAAAAAAAAGAAAATTTAGAAAAAATGCTCGAGAAAGTGTTTTTGTAGCCCAATTAATATAAGTCGTCCATTTTAGTAAGAAGGTTAGATATAGGCCTCATATAGAGTTTTGTATTCCCAAAATTTTTATATAGTGTTATCATGATTAGATGAACAATGCTAAAATGAAAAAAGTGATTTTGAATTTGTCAAGGCCTAGATCTTGAAATTCACCAAATGGACAGTCGAGATTTATTGTTGGAGGGTACTAATTTTGACCATATATAGGATGCAAATTGAATTTTTTTTTTTTTCCCCTTAAGATTGATTATGGGGATGAAGAGAATATGTGTGCAAAATTTGTAGTCACAAAAATGCCAAAAATATGGTTTTCTAGAAGTGTGGTTGCATTAAACTACGATACAACCATTGCATGAAATAATTGCCCTTTAAATAAATATTAAAAAATGTTGTAAATGTTAATTGACTAAATTAGATATGATTTGTTATTTTATAATGTAATAGTTTGATAGGGCTGCAGTTTTATCAAAATAAGTAAATCTTCACCTCATAATTCATTGAAAATTGCAATTTAAACATTGAAAAACCTTTAAATTTTGTAAAAAAAATAAAGATATCAAATTCTAATAAGAGTGTATATCGCAACAAATCATCTAAACCCATTTTGCCCAAAATATAGGTGTTCTAGTGTCGATCAAGCAACATATAGGAGATTATTATACAATTTCCATGAGTAAGACTTTGAACATATAGGAGATTATTATACAATTTCCATGAGTAAGACTATGAACATATATAAGACTATGAACATATAGGAGATTATTATACAATTTCCATGAGTAAGACTTTGAAAAATCCTCTTTATCATTTATGTGCTATGTGGCTCATTTTATTTTATTTTATTTTTATTATTATTTTTTAAGCTTGTGGGAAGGGTCCCACCTACGGCAGGAATTAAAAAATCAAAAAAATAAATAAATAATCCAATACAAAATTGACCAACAATGCAGCTGAGGCATTTCCATGCCAAGCTAGAAAGCACAGACACATAACTCTTGTTTTTGTTCCTCTTTCTTTCTCTCTCTCTCAAACACATCACAATGACATGTCTTTGTCCATTTAACAATCTCTCTCTCCATCTATATATATATATATATATATATAGAGGAGTAGTTAAGTAACTTCTACTTGCTGCCTGGGAATTAATGGCTGCCACGGCACTATTGCAGTTGCTCTTGCTGGTTGGGATCCCTGCAATAGGAGCTCAATCTCCTGCTGCACAAAACATAAGGTTAGGCTCTTTTCTCTCTACAAACCCAACTGGTAACAATTGCAGCCACTGGCTCTCCCCATCTGGTAACTTTGCCTTTGGTTTTTACCCCCTCCTTAACACCCAAACATTCTTAGATGGAATCTGGCTTCATAAACTGAAAAAACCCTGGTCTGGTGTGCAACAGAGACTCTGCTCCTCTCTCTACTGGCCACTCCATCATCCTAACCACGAGTGGAAGCCTCCTTTTTGAGAAGCCCGAAATCTAAAGGCCAAGTTGACCGCCCCATCTCCGATAATGCAGTTCCAGCATCTTTTGCAGCCATTAGAGACGACGGTAACTTTGTTCTCTATGGTTCTAATCAAATTGTATGGCAAATTTTTTATTCTCCAACTGATACAATTCTACAGGGCCAAATTCTCAATACTGATGCTCAGCTCTATTCGAGTGTCTCTGAGACTAACCATTCAACAGGGAAATATATGCTTAGTATCAGGGTCTTCAGCTCTACTACCTAGCGCATGGAAAGATGACTAGTGTCGGCATTAATGATGCATATTGGAGCAGCCAATTTGGAAGGGGCAGGGAGCAATCTGACACTGATTCTTGAACCAGATGGGCTTGCATTTCTTTAATTCATCTAATTCGTCAGTAGCTCTCAGTGGTTCAGATTTTAGAACTTTTCTGTTCAGAGCAACGCTTGGGGTTGACAGGAATTTTCGCCCTTTCGCTTATGGTTTGGAGGACCCAAATGTTACCATGACCATGAACTCGAACCCATGGAGTTGGATCCCTGATTCTGACCCATGCAAAATTAAAGGAAGATGTGGCCTGGATAGCTTTTGTAAGGCTAATGATAACTCTTATAGCTGCATTTGCCCTTCTGGTTTCGAGTTTAAAGACCCACTAGACTGGTCTCAAGGTTGCGAGAGGAACTTCAGCATTATAGATGAATGCAGAAGAGAAAGAGGGAATGGGAATTTGAGCGTCATCGAGATGGAGAGCCTAGAGATGGTCAATAATGCATACGAGAGTTTGACATTGAGCCAACAGAGGTGTACACAAGCTTGCTTGGACGATTGCTCCTGTGCTTTAGTTCTATTCATTAACATGCAGTGTAAGAAACAGGCACTTCCATTGAAATACAAGAAGCAGAGTTCAGGCACTTTGTCACAAAAAGCTTTTGTCAAAGTTGGGGGTTTTGAGTCTAACCCAACTCGATCGCATAGGCAGCCTCTATTCTGGGTTACTATTGTGCTTGCTGCTTGCTCTTTTCTTCTTGTACTAATTTTCGGCTTTTTTTGTGTTAAATCGAGGGTCCCGAGATATAAAATGCTTAGGGTAAGGAGCAATTCTGATGTAGAGGATAGCAGTCTGCAATTGTTTAGTTATGAGGAGCTCGAGGAGGCCACAGGTGGGTTCCATGAGAGTTTAGGCAGAGGCGCGTTTGGAGCTGTTTTCAAAGGAGAACTACCTAACGGTGTTAGCATTGCGGTGAAGAAGCTCCATGGGATAATTGAAGATGGAGAGAGAGAGTTTCGATCAGAGTTGAACACCATTGGGAAGACCCACCATAAGAATTTAGCATGATTACTCGGCTATTGTGGCGAAGGCTCTCATAGGCTTATTGTTTACCAGTTCATGAGCAATGGGTCACTTGCAAATCTAATGTTGAATCCAGAAACAAGGCCAATTTGGGCATAGAGAGTGGAAATTTCTCTAAGTATTGCTACACTTGCACGAAGAGTGCGACACCCACATAATACATGGCGACATTAAACCCCAAAACATACTCTTGGATCAAAATTTTACACCCAAAATATCAGATTTTGGACTTGCAAAGCTCATGGACCCCAATCAAATGAGAACCGTTACAGATTTGAGGGGCACAAGGCGATACATTGCTCCAGAATGGCACAGGAATTTACCGATCACTGTGAAAGTTGATGTGCATAGCTTTGGGATCATGTTGTTGGAGATCATATGTTGCAAAAAGAGATTGGAGATGGGTGAATCAATCTCTCTTTCTCAACCCAAACCAGTTTCGATAAAATCTCTCTCCCCCTCTTTCTCTTTCTTTTGTTGTTTTTTGCTTCATAAATACTATGATGTTTTAAAATAATTTTGTTTTTTTGTTGTATAGAGAGAAATAGTAGGTTATTTATTTCATATTGAAGTGTGAGATGAATAAACATTTCTTAAATATATGAGTTTATTTCAACAGTGAAATCGGGTGGCTAGAGGTAATAATATATCATTTATAATATAGTGTTTTGGAAAGTATAGTTTGTATTTTTTGTATAGAGAGAAGCAGTGGGTTATTCAGCTCATATTGAAAAGTGAGATGATTAAGCATTCCTTAAAGGGAAAAGTTTATATAGAGCCGAGGCTCTTAGCAATCAAATTAGAGCCTAGTACAAAAATTTCACTAAAAGATGTTGTTTTGATACCCAAATATCTTCAAATTGATCATCTTGACATCAACAAGTATGGACATGAGAAAAAAATGAATTTCAAGTTTTGGAAATAGTGTATTTTGTAACACATTTTTGGACCATCCATTTTCAAGATTTTCAAGTTTTCATAGATTTGTCGATTTACACTACTTTTTGAAGCTTTAAACTTTATAAATGAAGATGAAAATATATTTTAAGGCTATCACAAAGATTTCCAACATTGAAACCACATTTCTTGACATTATTTGAAGGTAGGCTCTAATTTGATTGTTTAGAGCCTAGGTTCTAACAAATTGCGCCCTTCCTTAAATATGAGTTTATTTCAACAGAAACGTGAAACCGGGTGGCTAACGTATGTCATTGACTAGTACATGTGTAGAACAAAATTGTTGAATACTATGGCACATTTTAAGTCATCGGATTTCACATCCGATAGATAAGGGTATTTGCCAACTCCTTGTACAAAAATTGCACGGTCTTATACTATGCCATTTCATAATATTTAAGCAATTATAGATCAAGTCACTAAAAAAAAGGGAAAATTACATAAATATATGTTTTATTTTCTGTTATTACCAAACTACCTAAAACTTTCCATTATTACACATATATCCGTTTTTTTGGACTTCATAATTATTTTTTAAAAAAAAACTGAATTGCTCATTTTCGGTTTATCAAAAACCGAAATGGGCCAAAATTCGGGTCTTGAAAAACCGAATATCAGGGCCTGCATCACACGCAAGTTTCCACATTCTCTCTCTCGTGTTTCATCCTTGATTTTGGGGTTTTGGGTTTTAAGAGAGCAACTCACATCTCTGGTTTTAGTGATCCTTTGTGCTCCAATTGTACTCTTGCTCTATCTGCTTCCTCCTCGATGATTCTCTCTCCCTCCTTCCTCAGTGAACCTTTTTAGTTTATAGTGATCATAGTCTCTCTCTCAAGAATGTTCAAAACTCGCCCAACTAAAAGTCTATGTTCAAAACTCGCCCAACTAAAAGTCTGGAGATTAATTGTTCAAAACCCAAACATGCCCAACTAGATCTCTCTCTCAAGCTGATATGAAATGCTCTGTTTTCATGGTGGGTGTCCACTCCATGGAGACTAGAAAACACACAGCAGTCATTACACTGGTTTGAAGGATCTCTCTCTACTCTCTATCTCTTCTCTCTTTCGAGGTTGACCGATACAACCATTTAGTTTGCCATCGACCCAACCAGCTCTAATAAACCTTTACCCTTACAATGGCTTGATCCAAGTATCACCACAGAGAAAATTGCATCATTTTGTTGTCTTTATATTCGGTTTTCCAAACCCTAAAATCAAGGATGAATAGCAAGAGAGAGAATGTGAAAACTTGTGTGTGATGCAGGCCCTGATATTCGGTTTTTCAAAAACTAAATTTGAGTCCATTTCGGTTTTTGGTAAACAAAAAATGGGCAATTCGGTCTTTTTAAAAAAAATTGATGTGAAGCTAAAAATTAGACATATGAGTAATAACATAAAGTTTTAAGTATTTTGGTAATAATGGAAACTAAAATAGATATTTATGTAATTTTCTTAAAAGAAATAGTGGTTAAATTAACTAATTTACTAATAAAATGATTATATCTTAAAAGACAGCGCATTTAGGTCCCTCCCTCAACCTTTTTTTACTGAGTATCTAAATTGCCCTCATTGTGGATTAAAAAATTGTGAATAAGATAAGGGCATTTGGTGATGTAGCCAGTTAAGCTACTATTGCCAAATTACCTAACTATCTCTGTTTGTTTTGTGTCACAAATCTGGAGTATGTTTTTAAGTATCTTATTCCAATCCTTTGCCTCAAGGAACTAGTATTACCAGGATCCGACCATCTGGTCTAAACAACTTTGACAAACTTCGAATCTGTTGATCAAAATTTTTATAAAGTAAAGAAAATTAGAAATAGTTTAAACATATATAATATATTATGAAAGAGAAAAGTTTATATAGAGTCGAGGCTCTAAACAATCAAATTTGAGCCTAATTCAAAACTTTCACTTGAATATGTTGTTTTGATGCCCAAATATCCTCAAATTGATCATCTCGATATCAAGATGCATGGACATGAGAAAAAATGGATTTCAAGTTTTGGAAATAATGTATTTTGTAATACGTTTTTGGACCGTCAATTTTCAAGAATTTCAAGTTTTCATAGATATGTCCATCTATATTATTTTTTAAGCTTTAAACTTTATAAATAAAGATAAAAATATATTTTAAGGCTATCACAAAGATTTCCAGTATTGAAACTACATTTCTTGACACTATTTGAAAGTAAGCTCTAATTTAATTGTTTAGAGGGTAGGCTACTGCTACTCAATCACCATTTAGCAACGACTGGGCAATCGGACTCTCGCACCGCTGCTGATTGAACGAAGGAGTCGAGCTTGCTCTATACAAAGCTAAATTTGTTTAATCAATTCGACCAATAAAAAACAGTTAGTCAAACTGACCAAAATTGATTAGAGACCTGTTTTCTATCAAATCCGGTTGCTAGTCTAGGTACCACGCGTTTCAATTCGATCTTGATAACTACGCTGGTGACTTTACTTGGCTAAATTACAATAGTAACTTTTTTTATTAGTAAAGTTCACTATTAAAATAGAAAAAAAAATACTTAGATTGGTAAATAAAAAAATAAAAAAAAATTTCTTCTCTGTTCTTTTTTCTTTCTTTTGGCATATGCTCTATCAAGGTCATACTCTCGGTCAGATCATAAATAAACGTATTTCTTCTCACTACTTATATCCAAATAATATAATTAAAAAATATTTTAGAAAAATAATTAGCTTCAAAATACAATTACAAATAGAACTATAATTATATTTTGAAGTTTATATGATGAATTTTGTATTTTTTTTTTTCTAATATTCTAGAATAATATTTACTGATGAGTAAATAATATATTTACCGATAGTTAAACAATATATTTACCTAAGATAATTAATATTAATTTTAGAGTAAATTAGTAAATAATATAATTGTAAACACAAAAATTAATTATTATCTAATAGAAGCCCATATGTGAAGATGATCCATCAAACTTTCTCTCTTCTTCGGTAATCAAATTTTATGTCTTGAAAGTTTAATTATAAGATTAAAACTTTATATTAATAATTAATATTCAATATACATGTAACGTACATGCATATTGATAGTTATTCTTACGTGGATGTGTGAGGCCCAATTTCAAAAAACAGTACCTTAAACAGCCAAGGTCTTAAAAGTCCTAAAAAAAACCTTTTCACAAAATTTAGGGTCCAAAACTAATTTTTTAAAAGAAAAAGTTTATATAGAGTAGATGTTTTAAACAATCAAATTAGAGCCTACCAAAAAAATTTCACCAGAAGAGGTTGTTTTGATGCTCAAATATCCTCAAATTGATGATCTTGACATCAAGATGTATAGACATGATAAAAACATGTATTTCAATCTTTGGAAATAGTGCATCTCGTAACACATTTTTGGACCGTCAATTTTCTAGATTTACGGTTTTATAATTAAAGATGAAAATATATTTTAAGGCTATCACAAAGATTTTCAACATGAAACCATATTTCTCTGCACTAGTTGAAGGTGCGCTTTATTTTGATTGTTTAGAGCCTCCTCTTTATACAAACTGCACCCTTTTTAAAAAGTTGTTTTTGAAACACCTACTGCTCTAGATCAACGACTGTGAATCATAACCGTATGTCTTATATCTGGATGGCACGATCTAAAATTTTTCGCGTGTTGAGAGTGAAGGGCATTCTTCAACCGTCCCTTGTTCACATAAGTGGTTGGCCCATTCCATGACGTTGTAGCTAATTTAAACGATCACATAATGTATCACTCATATGCTACCTAATAGTTCAAAGAAAATTACAAAAAACCCCTAAGATGACACTTTTCGCAACTTACACCCAATCTAGCTTTCTCCCTCACTTTTGTCCCCAAAATATACTTTCTATGCAAATACCCCCAACCATAAAATAAAATAAAATAAAACCTAAACTACCCTCCTTACTTTTACCTTACCCAGGCCACTCTTTTGTCTATCGGGCTCCGACATTGCGATCCAGCAGTAGAACACTCAGTAGAACACTCAGTAGAACACTGCGATCCAGCAGTAGAACACTCAGTAAAGGGCAGAGCGGTCCAATGTTACTGGATTTAGGGCTCTTGTACTATGTAAAGGGCGGTTCGGGCTGTACTCACTTTGGATTCAGTAGTTGTCTTTGGGCGGTCTGACACTTAAGTTTCTGTAAAGGACGGTCTCGCAATGCGATGGTGCGACATTTAAGTTTATGTAAATGGTGGTTTGGCAATACAATGGGTGCGCTCTGAAAATGTGCTACTAGGTCAAAAAGTCAACGTCAAATCGGGCCAAAATGATTTTTGTGTACAAGAAGGGCATTTCTGTTTAAAAAAATGAACTTTTTTCCTTAGGGGTATTTACATAGAAAGTTTGTTTCAAGGAAAAAAGTGGGAGAAAATTAGGTTGGGAGTAACTTACATAAAAAGTGTGATTTTAGGGGTTTTCTATAATTTTCTCTAATATTTATTGGACACGACGACCAAAACCCGTATAAATGTGGGCATCCTAATAAATCTATTTTTGAGATAGATTTTAAGACTTAATTTTTAAAGACATGTAAGTTCATGAGTATAAACAAATAAAAAATTTTAATAACTAAAAATAATAATACTAGTAAGAAGATGTTTTGGATCGTTAGTTTCGATTGTTTTTAGATGGATGCACTACAAGACCGCATATGTAGAACTGCGGTCCAGCCGCGCATGAAACAATTTTCCATATTTGTTTCCCGGAATCATTGTGAAGCCTCCCTCTCACCGCTCCTTATTTAAGAAGATTGCAGCCATTCACGTACGAATTCAAATCTAGGGTTCCTTCCCGTCTAAACGACTACTTCAGTCCTCAGAGGCAAGGGTTTTTCGAATTTTCTCTTTCGACGTCAGATCCTCATTCCTCAGAATATTCATCTGTTAGCGTTCCCCTTCAGCAATTGCCGACAGAAAGAAAAAAGAAACAGTAATTTCCCATAAAATATCCCTAAACTGTTCTCATGCGTTTGGGCTCTGTGATTTTCTGAAACCATGGCGTCTGGTAGTTACTTTGAAGCACCTCAGGCGACTGTGAAATTTCTCTGCGATCGATTGCTTGACAAAAGCCAGCCCATCTCCGAACGTTTTAGGGCACTCTTTTCCCTTCGGAACCTCCAAGGCCCTGCCCCTCGTGATGCCCTTATTCTTGGTATTCCTGCACCACCTTTTTACTTAAATTTTGAGTGGGAGTTTTGCAATTCTTTTTCTATGCGGTATATCTCGTTTAAATTGTCATAATATCATTGATATTTATGTTAATATTTTCTTAATTGACGAAATCAATCCAATTCCATGGGTTTGTTTCATATTCCATGTCATCAATTAGGGTTATTAATTTGTCATTAAATAGAAACATCCTCTTTCACTCTGTTGTAAGAAAAGAAAATCCCCCCTCTCTCTGTACTAATTTTCAAATGTCAATGCATTCAGCCACAAGAGATGAATCAAATTTACTGGCACACGAGGCAGCATTTGCATTGGGTCAAATGCAAGATGCAGAGGCAGTTCCTGCTCTGGAGAAGATCCTAGAGGATTATTCTCTCCATCCCATAGTACGCCATGAGGTACTTCTTCTACATATTTAATTACCATTATGTTTTCACAATCCCTTGTTTTTTAAATGTTCTCGTTTAGTCGTGTTTTATGTTTTATTCTTGAGATGAATTTCCTGCAAAGTTGGCAGAATCCATTTGTGTTCATGGACATATGAACTCAGCTCCTCACCTTTAATCTTTTTGAATAGTTACGTTGTAAATTTGGATGATACATGGAGCTCAAATTTTTTTATTTTGTGTAGTTTTTAATATGAGAAGGCTTGTGCTATTTTATGGAATGCACAATATTTTGATTAGATAATTTTCTATTGATGGGAAAATAGTTTAGAAAAAGTAGATAAAGGTGATCATGCACCTTTCATAATGTTGATGGTCTATTTATGGAATGGATGGCTCAGATCTCTCACCCCACAAGCCACACTGACCAACTGTTCACATTCAATTTCACTGGAAAAGGCAAACTATGGGAAACCCTAAAAAACCCTAAACCCAATTTTTCACTATAAATAGCAGTGTACCCTTTCCTTATTCTCTACACCTTGTCTCTTCTCTCTCATATCTCTCTCTTGCCTCTTTAAGGGGCGTGCCCCACTCTGTCTCCTCTTCCTCTCTCTAGAACTCTCTCTCCTAACATATCTCTAGAGGGGCACACCTTAACTCTAGGCCACCTCCTAAGTCTCTCTATCTTGATTAAACCTAAGGGTTGGGTAGCAGAGGATATTCTAAATTAGGTTCAAGGCTTGGGAGTTTTAAAAAGTTTTATAGTATAGTTTGGCCTAAACTTGCTTTCCCGGTTGAGATTGAAGCTAGACCGTTGATCCTGTGCCATCGGATGGTGGTGACTCGGTGTGGGGTGTAATAAGCCCGGTTGACGTAATCTCCAACACTCTACTTTTATTTCTTGCAATTTCATCTTTATATTCTCAAGCATAAGATATAGTTATTCTAATGGCATCAAGTTTGAAAATCTTGGTTTTATTGTTTTGTTGATTTTATTTTTGAAGTATATGTTATTGTAATAAGACCACTTGTAAGTGATCTTTTGCCAAAACAAATGGGGTGAAAAAAAATAATTTATATTCTTCTGTAAAAGATCACACTGGTCTTTCTTTCATTGATATCAGAGCATAGTTTCTTGATTGCCATTAGGAAATCTTTTCTAATTTTGCTTGAGAATAAAAGATATGGTTGCTCATACCTTCATCTCTGAGATCCTGAAAAACGAAAGGTTCGATGGGACCAATTATGCCGCTTGGAGAAGAAGGATTCGATGTGTTATTTATGAGGAAAACTTACATGAGATGCTCTATGAGCGTCATTCTCACCGTCCAAGTGACGACTCATCTCAAATAATCAAAGATGAGTATGCCACTTGGAAGAAGAGGAACTTGAGGTGTAAGAACATTCTTTTGTGCGCCATAACTGACTCGTATGCTTCTAATTATGATTCAATTTATACTGCAACTGGAATCTTTGATAGACTTGAGAGAGAGTATAATGATCTCTCTTATAAAGCAAGTCATGGTTATGAAAAAGTACAATGAATTAAAGATGGTAGAGGGTACTAAGTTCGCATATCATGTGCACATCTTTCGTGCACTAGTCAGAGAGATGGAAGACATAGGCATGAAACCAACTGAACTTATGCAAGTGATTCATCTCATAAATTCACTTCTTAACTCATGGGAAACTTTTGTGTCCTCACTCAAGACGAGAAGAAAAGGACCAAAGCTGGATGAACTTATCACGACAATCAGAGGAGAAGAAGAAAGGAGGCACTCAAGGCATGCACTGACAACAACTCCAAGGGAAGCCGTACACATGGTAAAATCTCCACCCTCTTTTAAACTTAAGAAAGGAAATGGTAGAAATAATTTTGGAAAGAGAGGAGACTTTAAAAAGAGATATTTTGGTAATAAAGGAGGAAAGAGAGAGACTAGGAGGTGCTTTATTTGTAAGAAGGTGGGCCACATAGCCAAGAATTGTCGGTCCAACAAATTTAGAGGGACCAACAACAAACTGACTTGTGTGGCCTTTGAGGTGTTGTTGGCCGACCCCAAGGGAGTTTCTTAGTGTCTTGACTCGGTACTACAGCTCATGTCACAAACACCATGGAAAGCTATCGTTTTTTTACCTCCATGGGGCCGGGACAACAACATATCTACATAGGAGGTAATAAAAAAACTGATGTACTTGGAGTTGGAAATTTTGAGCTGAAATTGAAGAGTGGAGTATCTTGATCCTAAAACAAGCATTTTATGCTGCTGATATGAGGAAGTGCTTGATTTCAGATCTCAAGATGTCTATGACTGGATTCATGACCACTTTCATTGGGGAGAAGGTGGTGGTCAAGAAAGGTGATAGTGTTGGCATGATTGAACGTCTTGTAGACGGGTTATTTGCTCTTGAAATAAAAGAGAACGTTGCTTATGTCTCGTCCCCTAATGAATTAGATGTTACCTCATGGTATATGAGGTTAAGACACATTAATTTCAAACGAATGTAAAGATTGAAAAAGGACTGCATTCTTCAAAATTATAAGGGAGATTTATCGAAAGTGTGCGAGTCTTGTGTGCAAGGAAAATTAATAAGGAAAAATACCATCGGGGCAAAAAGAGCTACTAGGTTTTTAAAAATCATTCATAATAACATATGTGGACCTATGAATGTGGCTATCAAAAGCAGTAAGAGTTATTACATCACTTTTATGGATGAGCACTCGCGATATGGCCATGTATATCTTATTCACACAAAATTTGAAGCCCTAGAAAAATTCAAATAATATAAAGCTGACGTAGAGAATCAAACCAACTTGAAAATCAAAGTCCTTAGAACCGATAGAGGGAGGGAATATTCATCGGAACTTTTTAAAGAACTCTGTGTTGAGAACGAAATCATCCACCAGTACATCATGCCATATACTCTCGAACAAAATGATGTAGTCGATAGACGAAATAGGACCTTAGTTGAATTGGTAAGGAGTATGATGGGGGCATACTAGTCTTTCTCTAAACTTTTGGGGAGAAGCCGTGTTGACGGCATGTTATATCCTTAATCGGACTCTCACAAAAGCTGCCCCACTTACTCGACACGAAATATTCACACAGGTCGTGTTCCCTCCTGTGATCGCCTAAAAGTTTGGGGTTTCTCAACCCATATTCTTATTCCACACCAAAATAGGACCAGACTTCAACCCAAAACTGTTAAAACCATTTTCATTGGTTACCCAGACCATGTATGGGGTATCGATTCTACAACCTTGAAACAAGGGCTCTCATTAAGAGCTGCGATGCTCACTTCTTCCAAGAAGAATTCCTTGAAGTAAGAATGAGACAGAAACAAGCCGACTTCTTTGAGGAGGCAAGAAACAAGGTTGTGCTTTGAGAACCCGAACCTGAAACTTCCAATAGACTTGAGCTTGAAACCGAACCCTCCAGACAAAATGGACCTGAACCCGAACCAAGACGAAGTAACCGAACCAGTAGACCCCATATATACCTAGAACAATTTGTCTACCTGGGGGAACATTTTGATAGAGTTAGGGAAGATCCAGATTCAGAACCTAAAGCTTACCATGAAGCCTTGTCCTGTCCTGAAAAGGAATACTGTGTAGAAGCCATGAAAGATGAATATGCTTCAATTAACCAAAACCATGTATGGGAATTGGTACCTCTACCTTGAAAACGTAAAGCCATTGGTTGTAAGTGGATTTTCAAGAAAAAATTGACTCAAAAGGGAAAATAAAACAATACAAAGCTAGGCTGGTTGCAAATGCTTTTACCCAACAAGAAGGGATAGATTATGATGAGACCTTTTTCCTTGTTGCCAAATTCCCATCTATCCAAATCCTTATAGCCATAGTAGTCCATTTTCATTTTGAGGTTCATCAGATGGATGTCAAAACAACCTTTCTAAATGGTGATTTAGAAGAAGAAATTTACATGACCCAACCCGAGGGATTTGTGGAAAAAGGGAAGGAGAACCTAGCGTGTAAACTTTAAAAATCCCTTTATGACCTAAAACAAACATCGCGTTAGTGGTACATAAAATTTCAAGAGACCTTTGCTTTTTCATGGTTCTTTGCAAATAATGAGGACTACTGTATCTATCAAAAGGTCAGTGGGGAGTGATGTGGTCTTTATTTTCTCATATATGGATGATATGCTCTTTGTTAGTAGCTTATTGCCCTAGCAGTAAAGACAAAAACTTTCTTTGTACAACACTTCGATATGAAGTATCTTGGAGAAGCTTCATATGTGTTGGACATCAAGATAATAAGAAACAGAAGAGAGAAAACTATCTAACTTTCTCAGGCAACTTACTGCAAGAGAATACTGGAAAAATTTGATACGAGTATATGTAAGCCCATGTCTACCCCAATAGACAAAAAGTCGAAGTTAAGTAATAAGATATGTCCTACTGAAGACATGGATATAAGAGCCATAGAGAGAGTTCCTTATAGGAGTCCCTTATGTATGTCATGACGGGAACAAGGTCAGGCTTGTTTTTCATTATGAGCTTAGTTAGTCGATTCCAAAGCAATCTTAGAGAGGAGCATTGGAAAGCGGTCAAGAGAATCCTCCGATATTTAAAAGGGACCATGAATTATGCGCTTACATACAAAGGGGGAACTGAAATAACAATAGAAAGATATTCAGATGCAAGCTATCTCGCGGATCCAGATGATGCGAAGTCTACATCTGGATATGTGTTTATGTTTGGAGGGGGAGCAGTTTCTTGGAAGTCAAAGAAACAGGATATAGTGACGTTATCTACCATGGAAGCTGAATATGTGGTATGCTGTCTTGCAGCCAAGGAAGCCTTATGGATTAAGAAGTTTCTTAATCAGCTAAGCTTTCATCCCGTATGTTCTGAGGTAGTGTTGATTTTCTACTACAACACGACGACAATTTGTGTTTTTAAGGAGTCGTTTTCACAAGAACTCCAAGCATATTAAACCATATTTCTATCACCTGAGGAATGAGGTGAGATTGAGAGAGATCAAGATT